CCTCACCTGGGGGTGGAATGCCAAAATGCAAGAAGGTGGCTGCCTGGCTCAGGGGGCCTGGAGCACCAAGCAAACAGGTTCTACGCTTGCACCAAATCATGTTCCAGCGCCCCGTGCCCACTTGCTAGAGCCTGTTAAAAAATTGTGTTCCCTCATTTGGTTCCATTCCAGTCCCAATTGGCTGTGGCTCGAAAAGCCGGTGCCAAAATGGACACCCTGGTAAGTGGAAACATGGACCAAAACCTGCGTAACCCCTCCTGTTTAATTTTGAGCCACACCCAATTCAGGGTCACCCGGATCGCCGCCAGGACTTCCGGATGGTCAGTGCCTTCGAGTCGGACCCGTCCATTGCGGTGATGCGGAACCGGTGGACCAAAAGGGGGATCCGAGGGATGCGAAGATTTGAGATGCAGGGAAATAAAGCCCCTGAAAATCAACATGGAACCAACAAAGGTGCCCCACAAAAGAAGCCCCCTCTAAAATTGATGGCTGTTTTGTGGACCAAAGTTACTCGAGCTAGCATGTTGCCACTGAGGCATGTTGCTCCGATTGGGCAAGCGTTGCCTGCCAGTCGCAAGAAGCAGCCATCAAAGGAAGACATTCTGGGCAGATGCAACCTCCATCAACAGCATCTACATTCTCCTTCCGCCACACTGCGCAATACATAACACGAAGCCTCTTACAGCAACGCATGACCCTGGATCCTCCATGTCACCAGGATGGTTTCATGCTCTGCTCCGAACACTGCTTGCTGTGGCTCAACTCGCTTGAAACGCACAGGTCTGCGCGGACGCTTTTTGTGCAGGGCGACTTTCCTAAAGATGCTCATGAACCCTTCCACGCGCATAGGAGCATGCCACCTGACGAATTCTCAGAACCACGAAGTCCTCAAGCAAGCTTGTTGCATCTCTGAGTAAGCTCCACAGGGTACAGGGTGAAGATGGCCTGCCAACTTGCAATCCGTTCAGAAAAAGCAAACCGGCACTATCAGTTCACCTTTTGGCGGGTGACGTGTGGGATCATCATCCAGAGTCCTGCGCAAGGATTCCCCACACCATATCAAGGAGGCATATTTCAGGCTGTATTTGCTTGGGGAGGTTGAGTGCTCCAGATGGGCGATGCAATCTTTGTTGCCCGGTGCCGGTACAAGCTGACCAAAATCCGAGGAGAAAGGAGCGGTGGTTTGATATTTCTTTTGTTTGGCATTTGCGGGAAACACATGATAAATTCCGAAGGTTGGAACGTGGTGAGTTTTTTTTTTTTGTGGGCAGTCCTCGAGTTTACCTCTTCTGCACTCTGATGCCTTGTCAGCTAAACCCAGCATGTCCCGCCCCCCTGCTTGCATTTGTGCCTTCCACGCGCGTGGCAGGTACACCACGGAGTTCTTTCAACTCTTCAACATGGGGTGCAGCCTGGGGCTTTTAAGGATTGCCTTTTAGAGGGAATGGGCCGACCACTTGCTAGCAGCATCTTCTTTGGTCATGGCTTACTGTAATTCAGTTTTGTGGCAAGCCGCCGTTCTCATGCCTATTTGCGATCAGTGTGTACTTACCCAAGTGAAGAACATGTCATCTTGGCTTCAGCGGGGCCATAAGAGGCCGACCCCTGAACGAATTCCACCAATGTGACAGAGAGCGTCAGGTGGGTTTCCCAGATGTCTGCGCGTTGGTGAAGAGAGCCTGAGATAGAATTGAATCATTGCTGAACAGGGATCAGTTTCCTGCCCCCATGGGTCTCATGGGTTGTTTGTTGCAAAACGTAGAGAGTCTTCAGTCCTTGCATGGTATCTTGAATGGATTGCCAAGGATGTTTTATTGTGCAGATATGGCTCCTGTCCAGATCTGCAAAACAAAAATGCAAGAGCCCCTATGGGTGGATTGGCTCATGAAAGGCCACTATCAGTTTCCTTGGTGGCACTGCGAATAGTGTCAGGCATTCGCCGGAGTTTGCTTTCTTGCAGCCAGTCAAACCGGGCAAAGGTGGCTGGGCAGGTACCAGAACTACTCGCAAGGGGAGTGGCTGGTTGCTCGACGCATGCTGCCCGGGAGCCCGGTTGCGGGTCTTTGGACGTGCCTGCCTTTTTTCTGGTGGAACACCTTCGAGTCAAATCCATATGATTTGATTGTTCCTTGCAACCCTTTCATTTTGATCCGGCGATTTTGTATTTCCCCGGTGGGATGATGTTGGGTTGAAGTGGGGCTTGGCTGTGACATTTCGTTTGTAGCACTCACACATGGTGGACATAGTGCCGTGTGAATGAACACCCAAAAAACCCTAGACAAGTTCATACCCTATTTGTGACTAACAAAAGCCGCCAATGATTTGAGTCTACCAGTCTAAACCAAGTTGGGCCCACCCAATTTTCGGGGTTTTCCCCCCAAACATTTCGCTTGAACGGGCCTTGTTTAAAATAGTTCCCCGCAAACGCTGCCATGCCACTGACGTCGAACCCCAGTGACTCCAGGCCCCATGGATGGTAGGGGCCCCTCCGAGGACGGAGACCAAGAACCTGTTGGGTGTAGAGGATGGCCCCAGTGCCGCGCTGCTTCGGTACATGGAGGACGGGAGCCGAGCCCCCCGTTTTCATTGAACCTGACAGGAGGCCCCTGGAAGGGGCGAGAAGGTTCCATGTTTGGAGTATTGCAAGGGTCGGAGAAAAAAGCAACAAACACATGTTGGCCCCTGATTAGTCAACCTGGTGGATTCGTCGGGGGACGTGAAGCTGACACGGTTTTCTGCCGTCTAAGCTCTTGCTTGGATACCCCTACGCAATGTATTATTCATGTTTTGCGGGTTCCCGGTGTCTGTGAATTTGGGTCCTTAACTTGTCCTTCAGGGTGGCACACCGGCCAGACAGCTGGTGAGGACCCGTACCAGTTCGAGGTGCCGAAGAATTGGCCGCAGATGCGGGACCTGCCGGTGCCCCAGGCATGGCGAGCGCTTCAGGCCTAGGCCACCAGGGGCATATGCTCTCCCTGCGTTGCTCGCGATGTGGAGTGTAACGAATAAGCCTTTTCAAAAAGCAAGCGCCGAAGCGCCCTGAAATGCCCCCAAAACGTGGCAAAGTCTAAGTCTGCAATCGAAGAAAGTCCATTCTGTGAGGGCACCCCACTTCGTTCTCCGCCAAAAAGGGGCCACAGGAACGCCGAGGTGTTTGTATCCCCCGCTGGCAGACGACAGTGTCCGAGGACCTTGCTGCTTTCCTGATGGCCTGGAGTCAGTTTGCACAATTCGGTGACGCCAGCCGCCCGTGAATCACTGCTTAGAGCCACCAGCGCCCAAGTTGCCAAGTGCTGCCAGTGACTGGCAGCTGAAAAAGCTCCGCCAGCCGAAGCTCTGGATGGGTCTGGAGCAAACTTCCCAGCAGTTTGCCATCATGTCACCAAGAAGTCTGGAAGATAGAACTCGGGTGGGGAAGCTTACGTGCCTGGCGCCCCATCACCAGAATCCACGGGCTTTTCGGCCGCCCCTCGTCGCGCGAGGGGCGCTCCGCTGTGCACCGCAGGGCGGCAAGTAGTGCCGCTGACCAGACCTGGCCCGGTGCGATGCCGGCGCCCGTGTCCCGGCGATTCAGCAAGAACCCGGAAACGAGCGCGCAAGCGTTTCGATGTTACTTGCAAGGCGGATTTGTGTATTTGCACGGGTCCAACTGCCTTTTGCTCGCCGTCTAGTCAGCTCCCTTGTGCAAGCCTGGTCCGGGGCGCGTTCTCTTGCACGCTTGCGGCCCGATATCTTTCCATGCGCCAGCATGGTGCTCAGCAGAGGCGGCTTTGTTTGGCATCCAAGATTTGAAGCAGTGCTAGACGCATATATGTACATCATGCCTTCTATTCTCCACATATCATTCAATACATGTAGGCCCGTCTTGGCTCGGACTGACAGGTTGCCGTCATCTGAAACATTTCACGCAGACAAACAACAAGAGGGACAGGCCAAGGTCTGGACAGGCAACCCCAAGGATGCTGCGTTCGTCTAGCTGAATCAACTGACTTTCCTTGAAATTCGTTTTGGTTTGCCCAGCTATCTCTGCCTGCCTTTGTGCTAGCTAGGAGGCATGCCGTGCTGCTCCTCCCCCATGGGGACACCTAAGAAGGTCGAAGGGAGCCTTTTGGCATGTGACTCGTTGCCTCAGGGCAGAACCAAATCCAAATGTTTCCCTCACATCCAAAGTTCACCAAAGGACTGGCTGCTGGATGTGTTGGGGACTCCAAGAGTAGTTCAAGCGATCCACCTTGGATGCCAATCACATCCAAAGGAAAAAGAACGGAAACGCGTGTTGTTCTCCCAGCCCTGAGGACACATTCGTGCACTGGTTTCACCCATCGCGTCTCCAAAAACGGCTGCGCAGGGCACCACCAGCTCCGAGACCAGCGGGGCCTTGGGGTAGGGCAACCAGGAAGGGCAAGATGGTACCGAGAATCTCAGTGGAGATTCCTGGTTGATCAACGTTTCCAGGCTAAGATGACAGTTTGCTTGCTTTTTTGGTTTCCATCACCTTTCAACCAAAGACCAGCAGTTGCTTGTTTGCCAGCTTGTTTGCTTGTTTGCTTGCCTGGCTGCCTGCTTGCTGTTTCCTTTGGCGCGAGGCCGCTCCAAGTTAGTGGCACAACTCTTGATGCCACAAGTGACTACAACGCTCGCTGGCATGCGGCTCAAAGCCCACAGGCACTTGGGGCGGATCTTAGTCAAATAGTTTTTCATCCAAATCGGGGCCGTGCTTGATCGTTTGCCCCGGAGGGTGGCGGGCCCCTGGTTTTGAGGGACACCTAAGGGGAAGCACCTCGCCGGATTGCAAGCCAACAACGCTAACTCCAGCTGCAGAGTTGGTATGCGTGGATCTGTGCGGAACTTGACTTCTGAGACCCTGATGAATATGGACTGTGCCCTATTGATTGCCATTCTGTTTTTGCAACCCTGAAGCTAATAGGTAGGGTGTGGATTATTTAAGCCAATAGGTAGGGTGTCAATAAGCAACAGGTTGGGGATTCCAAGAATCGCTTCCCCACCACCCCTCGGCCTTTTCTCGCCGGCCGCTCCTTTTTTTCTGGCGCCATGTCCACCCTGAAGCCGGCGCTGCCGCGTTCAGAGTCGGAGCTGGGACGGGAGCCCGAGTGGGCCTCTCTAGCAGAATGGTCAGAACAGGGAACTTCCCAAAGGATTTTGCACCCTTGGTTTCGCGTTCAAATCCAGCGTGACCTCGAAAAAAATCACACCCAATGGCTGCAAGGCAACCCCTGTCACGCAAAACTGACGTCACAAGAAGCGCGGGCGTCCGGGCCAATGGGCCTGGGCCGAGCCGGCGGAACCCGCCGAAAAAGCAACAACCCTCCGATGGTTATGGTTCGTTCTCGCTTCATCTTCTCCAACTTCCTGAGCAAGGGACCCAAGAAGAGTACAGCTTCCTTCAACTTCGCATGGTTCGCTTGGTTTTCCATGTGCTTGTATGTCGCCTGAGCTGGCCAGATTTTTCAGCTCGCTCCTTCGTGCCGAGGCCGGAACCGGGAGCAGAAGGGAACAAACTCCTACTACTACGCGCACAACGAGAAATGGGAGGACCGCTCCCGTCGAGTCTCCAGAAGTGCCGGAGAAATGGAGGAGGGAGAGCCTATGATGTGCGCATTACCCTTGGTCCACCTTGGGGGAGACGAGCGCTTTCTTGCACAAACCAACCTTACGCACTTGTCAAGTAGTGTTCGTCCCTGGGTCAAGGTGAAGTCTGATTTTTGGAGCTACGCTTGGGCGAAGGGCACATATTTTCAACCAGGCCATCTGTTTTGGGACGCGTGCGCCTCTGGATTGGCCTTGGCTGCAGGTCCCCGAGCACGCAAAGGTCCGGGCGGGGCCCGGAGCCCCTTGAAGCTATGAGAACCCTGACGGGAATGATGTGCGAACATCGTGCAGGGCAGGTTTGTCAAACGGGTCCGCGGGGTGTGTTTTCGGAATCAAAGAATTGATAGGTTCATTGGGCCCTGTCTGGTCCAATGACATCTGGCTTACCGGCTGGATCACCTAGGCCGGGTCTCATCACTGGCGGGGCGCCAGTGAAGCTGGGCGAGGAGTGGGGAGTGGTGGGCCCTGGGCATCCACCCTATCAACCAATGTACCCGTGAAAGGTGGCTGAGTGGCCGTGTATCCCATGAAAGCTGTGGAGGCAGACCTGGTGACTGGAGGGGATCTCCAGGCAAAAGGCCTTTTTCCGAACAAGAACCACATACCACCGACTGGACGAACTCGCATGATCAGCGTTGCCTCAGGCTTCCGGGAAGCCAGTCTTTCAGGCATTGGCACTGGGAAGTTGTGACAGGGGATGCGGACGTCCTGCAGATCAGAGTTCATAAGAAGTTTGTCAACCGAGGACATCACTGACCATGCACTTCAAGCCTGCGGGTATTGAGATTTGTCCGAGCAGCGAAAGGGACGCTGGCTCCGGGTTTCTCCCTTGGCCGCTTCTCAATGACCAAACCTGGGTCGAACATTGACGAGAAGTTGGGTTCTAGAAGCTTCCGACTTGTTAACCTTCCGTTTTTGGAGCAACTCCCGGATCTTTTCTCCACTTTTCTGAGACCCAACTTGCAAACAAAATACGCAGATTTTGTATGTACATAGGGCCCAGGAGCATGTAAGACACATGACGGGGGAGATGGGACGGGGCCGGAAGAGAGGATGGTGCAATACAATCCCACTTGTTCAGTACCCTGTTTCCCTTTTCGTTTTGGCGAATCAGGTTTCTTTTTCCCAGGGTTGCTGGACAGCTGGGCAACTGTCATCTGGAGCAAGGAATATCGGCAACGACCAATGCAGAGTACTGCTGATAGTTATGCAGGGCTCCTTAAAAGATACATTTTGCACATTTGCAACATGGCTTTTCTCACCAAAATAGAGGGACACCACCATTTACAAGGCAATGATCAGGTGTATAGTGTAAGGATCCCTGCTATGACGCTCTTGGACGGCACCCCACACTTCAGCTAACCCCCCCCCATTTCAAAGGAGCACGAGACATGGATTGGACCACCCAGGAGTCCGGCTACCCGGCCCCAGAAGAGGGCACGGGCCACAGAGGGCTGGGTCTGGATACACATCCCATGATTGTAAAAATTTGGCACTTGTACCAAGCGAATTCCATGAATATATATATATATGCGTATATTTTAGGTGAACGCCCTTTTCCTGTACCAAGGGAATCCCCATACAAAGTGAAACAGATGTTCTCCAAGAGATGCCCGACTGCGCACTGATTCCACAACTGACATCTGCAGCTCGAGAGTTGTGGTTTGGCACTCGATGGCTAAACGAGAAGGAAGTCTGGCGCATGAATTGGATGCCGGATGTGCATGGCGACGGTGCCGGGCTCGCAGTGTTTCTGCCTTTGGCTTTGGATCAAAAGCGAGCCCTGAAGGTTGACTGGCTTGATGGTTCTCATCGAATGAGAACTAAACAATTCACAGGGGACGGATGCTGGTTTGTGACTCTGTGGCCACGTGCGCCTTCGGCAATTGAAGGCTCGGCGGCGGCAGAGGTGGTGGCCGAGTTGCGGAAGCGGGTGGAGGAGTTGGAAGGTGCACTTCGCTGGTTTGATTTGGGTACAGATGTGTGTGTGTGTCTGAAGAAAGCACTCCCAACATTCCATTCAAACTTCCTCTTGAACCACCCCCTTTGACCATAAGCACATGGCCATTTTGATTCTCAGCAAAGCCCACATGGACTGACCCGTTGGACATCCTCCACGTGGGGATGTCCACTTTGAAACTTGAAGCGCCGTTGTCCCCCGTTTCACCCGACGGTGGTGGCCTTGGGGTCTCAGCCGCGGCGGATGCCGAGTTCTGACCGGGGCTTTCCAGAATTGTAAGGCACCAAAGTGCAGCCTTTGATCTAAGCTTCCCTCAAAAAGCCGCAAGAGGCTGGGATGTTTCGCCAGGCTCCATGGTTTACCGTTTTACCTGGCTATGTGTCTGATGTGCAGGTTTCTTTTGGGGGCGAAAGGAAGCTTGGAGCTCATGTCTGTGCCCTCACGCCGCGTTGGGCACCAGGTGGGTTTGGCCCCTCTCTTACCCCGAACATTTTCCGGATTCCCTCCAATGACTCCATCACTCCATGACTCCATGACTCCTGGATCACCGAACTCCAAGCTGCTGTGGGAGGTCAACTCATCGCAGCGCGGATGGGCACGAAGCCCATCACCCAGTTCTCCTTCAGCGATGAGGGGGCCAAGTGCAAGGCTTGCCGGCAGGGGGGGTGGTGTACTAACCAGGGCTGACCATTGCCTAACGAGTGAGCATGATGATAATTTGTAGTGTAAATAATATACAGAAAAACCAATGTAAAACACAACTTACAGAAACACGTAATTTGATCTGGCTCTATTTGTGAATCCTGTACGTACACATACTCATTGCCCACGACCCCACAACTGCCACAGATGATCTGGCCCCGGCTACCCATGCCCTCCACTCCTTCAAGGGATACTCAGAGTTCATGGAGGGCTCCTTTATGTCCCCCTGCAGTGAGTCAACAACAACGGTCATGTAAGAAACAAACATATTGGAGGAAGCATCACTTTTTAGAAAAACTTCAGCTTAATAGTGGCTCGTTCTTGGTGGCTTCAAGCGCAGACAGAGCAAGTACTAAGCAGCAAGCAACAAGGAGATACCCTTTCTTTTCTTTCTTTTTTGGCTTGGGGCCTGTAGGACATAACTCATTCCTCTTCACTTTCCAAACTCCCTCTCTTCAAAACTTAGGAAATAGCGCCCAAGTCAGGATTCTTGCCCAACTTCCTCTCTTGAAAGCGCAGCCAAAAGACGCGAAGGCCGCCAGGTCGAACGTTGCGCGCCAGGTCTACGTGGAGGTGGAGAAGGAGGTCATGGAGCGGCAGAGCAGTGAGGAGGGCTCCGTGTGCTCCAGTGAGGCGTTGGGCGGGCCTCGCGGTCTCGTGTGCCCGTAAACCCCTGGTGGGGATTTTGATCGGGGGGTGTCCCCTTTTTAGTGGGGATTCAAACCACTTTTGGAGGGAACACCCCCCTCATAATGGGACGGGTTTCTTAATCCTGGGTCAACATTATGGCTTTTGTGTCTTTTCGGGGTTGGTGCCCCCTTTCACTTTGCGGTTGGCTTAAAGCAGCCACATATGTTTTGGATCCTTAACATGCCCATATGTGACTGGGGGACTATTCGCTAAATGGGATCAGGTCAATCGCGGAGTGGTGAACCTAGTGTGGATTAGCCCTCAGAAAAAATGAAGGTTGCGTTCTGAACCTACCAATCATCCAAGGGTGTATTAATCCTGGTTCCCATTCTGGACCCCCCAAGATGGCTGGGTTCCCTTTTGAACCAAGGCCAGCCTTTCGCTTGGTTTTGAAGGAAAGCCAAAATGAAACCAGGCATTGTATGGGTCCCCCCCTCAGTTCCATGTGTTCTGTCGTGGGCAGGCGGAGTGCGCTTCTGAGACGTAGCACTTGAGAGGTTTATTCTTCGTGGCCGGGGGACATTTAACCGACAAATGACGAGCCACTGTTGCCAAACACACGCGGGTACATTCTGCCCGCTTGTCCGCTTTTTCTTCCGTGACGGCCGAGGCCAGGTGAAAGAGTCCGAAGAGGTTGTATTCGGCGCATGCTGCCAAATCAAGCGTAACGTCTGACTGCCCCCAAAAGAGAAAGCGGGGGAAGGAGTTTCACGAGTGGCGCCTTGGACTTGGAAGCGCACGGGGCTGCCACCCTGTGAAGAAGGAGCGGTGTTGGCCAGGCGGCTGTGGTGGTCTCTTTCTCCGGCAGGACCTGCGCGTTCAAAGGGTCTGAGTTCAGTCCGGTTTGGGTTGCAACCTCTCGAGGTGATTTGATTTGTGGGTCTCTTGGGCTTTTGGAAATGCCCTGAGCACGAAGACGGGTGTGTCCTTCGGTCCTTTGCTTAGAGAAACCCTTCTTTGGCTGGCAAAGGACGACTGGACGCATTTCAGGGTCAACTTTGAGACACACCCTGCTAGATCATCCACAGTCCAGCTGAGTTCCATAGGTGGCTTTCTGCGTTCTTCTGCCATTTTCCAACCAAACGGGTTTGAAGCCAGGGTTCGGAAGAGAATGTCGGGTTTTGATGCTTCTTTGCCAGGGATCTCTTGCTCCCACGCTGGTGAAAGGACCGTTCAGGGCCGGGTGATCCATCTCCCCAACGCCTTTCGAGCGTTTGAGGGTTGGCGACCAGAGGACGCCAGTGGCCCATGGGACCCCACTTTTTGGTCAGGTGTTTTTTTTTTCCAGTTCTCTTATTCGCAGCCTCCCAGGTCCTAGGCAATTCTATGACGATCACAAACCAAATCTCGGCCAATGGTGGAGTTCACATCAGCCAGAAGCTATAATCTTTCCCGAGTTCAAGAGTCAACGGCCCATTGTGGGATTTGTCTCCCCCGAATTCGCAGACTTACAGCTGTGCATTCTACCACTTGGCAGTCACCATCATCCACTTAGTGCTTAGTGCCTTCCATTTCAGGTCGATCCGGGCCATCTAAATTTCGGAGGTTTGCAGCAGCACCACCCTTTTGGCCCATGTAAAGCCAGTTAAGATGAGTTCCCTTGGTAAGGATGATGTTTTCCGGTCGGAGGCCTTCGTCCACAGGGACGCCAGAAAGTCGCTCGTTCTCTGCGGCGCGACTGTAGGAGCTGCTCCTTGCGGGTGACCTCCACGGGCCTGGACGGCTCCATCATGGAGCGCCGCGCCCTGACGCTGGCGCGCGGGAGCTGGTTGGTCGTTTTGGCGCGGGTTCGGGCGGCGGGCTTGGTGTTGGGGTGTTGCGGGGGAGGGGGGCGGGTTGGAATATTGGGTAAAGGGCAGGGTAGGGCCAACCCGGCTGGTTAACGAGGTTACCTCTGCTCGACTCCGCTTAGATGAGGCCGAGTTTGTTTGAGCACGCTTCGCCAAGCCCTGGTCAGGGGGACCGGCATCCCCCCCATGCCTTTGTGTTGGCTTTCTAGTTTGAAGCACACCCCAAACATCCCCAGATATCCCCAGCCTCTTTGGAATAGACATTGCAACGCTGCGGAGTGCGACAGGGCGGATCCGCCCCCTAAAACTTGGTTGTTAGGGGAGTGCTTCCATGCCCAAATTGGCTGGGTGTTCCCACAAGGGGGAGCTCTCTTCTTGTTTGGGCCGGGAGGGCCGCAGCAACAATTTGGAGGATCTTCTGGTTTCGGAAGCCCGCCAAACCCCCCATTAGATAATTTTCTGATTTTCCATAGAAAATCAACAATCGTCAATGCATTTTGAGAGCACCATTGTTGGTGCGGCGTATCATCAAGTGGACCCAGTGGATTGTATGCGGACTAGCGGTTCATTTTGAGAACGACTTGCCCTGATCTTACAGGTCGGCGATTCCGACATTGTGCCAGAGAAATGCACCTACAAGGCCAGGGCTTGAGGGTGATTGAGAATGCCCATGGCTAGGTGAAGCAACATAAACATGCCGAGGAACAATGGGATGCCCCAATTTAGTGGTGATCCTTCACTTTCTGTCTATTGTTTTGTGTGTGGTGGAGGGCGGGGAGTGATTGACACTTTCCAACTGGGCTCCGTGCGACAAACTTGGTTGCGTGCGTGGCAGGTGGACAGAGCGAAGGGGCGGATTACCTTGAGCGACAGCCTTAGTGGTGTGCCTCACAAACCGCAGGTAAGAGCGCCAAGTGCCAAGCGGCAGGAATACATGTTCATATCTTTCAGAACTTCTTGGAGAATGCCAGGGACATTTCCTGTCGCATCTGCCATTGTGCGATAGTTGTGTAATTGGGCGGGTGACCCGAAGCATCTCAATGTCGGCCTCATTGCGGGGGCCGGGGTGGGTGTGCAACTTCAACGCTGCGAAAGCGAACTGGAGAGAAGCGAGCTGGACAGAGCAGTTTGCTGTTGTGAGGGAACAGTCCCAGCAATGTGACAGTGTTTCCGGGCGCTTCCGGCCAAGGCTTCTACAAGAAGGATGAGAAGAAGAGGTGGCAGAGCGCCCGTATGCCTGGAAAGGGGCCATCGCTCACAGAATGAGGGCCTTTGGGCTTGTCTGCGGCCTTATATGCACTTGCTGGAAATCATACCCTTCTCTTCTGTTGATGGGGAAGGCATACGGCCAGCAACCCAGGTCACATTTTGTTCATAGCCTGCCAAGTGGGCAGAATACCCAAGCTGGGGGGCGGCTTGGTACCGTCGAACGAAGTCAATTATTCTTCCTTCACGACGTCATGTCGATCTGGCCTTCGCTTTCGCAAGCACTGCTTAGGGGAGTCGTCTTATTTAATCTATGCATAGGCAAACTCACAATGTTAATGCGGGATTTGGGCGGTTTGTCAGCAGGCTTGTTTTTGGCCTTGACATGCCTTGCCTTGCCCTGCTTTGCCTTGCCTTGCTTTGCCTTGCTTGAATGACTTGGCTTGCTTACATGACTTGGCTTGCTTGCATGATTTGGCTTGCTTGCTTGCTTGCTTGCTGGCTGGCTGGCTGGTTGGTTGGCTTGGCTTGCTTCGTTTGCTTGGCTTGCCTGGCTTGTTTGGCTTGCTGGCTTGCTGGCTGGCTTGCTTGCTTGCTTGCTTGCTTGCTGGCTTGCTTGCTTGCTGGCTTCTTGTTTGCTTTGTTGCTTTCGTGCCGGCCCCACACATGTCCGAACAGGGGGTAGGGCATGGCATTCTTGGAGGGGTTCACCTACAGAAAATAGAGCCAGGATGTCTAACCTGGCCTTTTGAGACAGATTTTGGCCCACGTTTGGTCGGATCCACGTGATCGTGCTTTGGTACGTGGCATGCCGCAGAGGTGAAGCCCCAGAGAACGTGAGGGACGGGCGGAATGCCGGATGCCGCACGATGCCGCACGCAGCGGGGCCGACAGCAGCCTATCAGAGGAAACTTGATTGTTTCTTGTTTTCCCAGAAGGGCATTGGAAAGGGAGTTGCGATTCTTTCCGTTTTTCTAGGCTGCCTATTCACTATTCAACACCTAGAAATTGCCGGGATGCAAAAGGCGCACTTTGCAGCGGTTGGCTTTCACGTTCTTAATAGCTTGTCGCGCATGCCGGCCCGAACAAGCTGCAGCGGTTGCAGGTTGCACTTGGCCTCGAGAATCACATTTTCTTTCTTGTTGGAGGGATTCCCTTTAGCATCGACTACGTAACTGAACGAGCTGGAGTTTGACTGTTCGCGCTTGTTGGGTTGCGGTGAGTAAGGCTTAGCCGTGTAGCCATGTTCACATTGTGCCCGCCACTTGGAGAAAGTGAATGCTGAGTGCAGGCAGGGTGACAGGAAATCGCGATTCGGCATGACCGCTGAAGTTGGCTGCAACCAATCCTGCAAGACCTTGCCGGAGCAAGCGGTCAGACAACAACATACCAGCCCCCCGAACTTTGACTTTGTGAGGGCCTGGCGCAAACTGGTGAGCAGCTTGTACAGAACTGCATGGCACCGCAGGCTTGGACACTCAAGAGCTGGCAAAGCCTTAGTTTCTGGGTGGGGGCTGCATTAAAGGCCTGGTGAATCCGAACTGGCTCAAAAGGAAACTCCAATCGCGCTGAGGTTTTTCGACAACGGCCAGTGTAGATCCCAGTTGAGCAGTTTTCCCTCGTTTTGCTTTCAGTTTGCCTTGGAAGTCCAAGCCAGAAGATCCCGAGGGCCAGCTACGAGGCTTGTGTCTTGTTCTTGTGCCCGAGCGGAGGGCAGCTAGCCGCCAGCGCCGATCGCTATGGCGCCTGCGACCAAAGAGGAGCAGGAGGCGCTGCTGGCGACTGAGCGCAGCACCAGCTTCGCGGGCGCCAAGTGCGCCGGGTGCTGCTGCTGCAGCGCGGTGATCTTTGTGGTGCTGGTGGTCGTTTACCTGAAATGGCCACCAAGCGCTTTAGGCTTTAGCACGGGTTCTGATTCTTTTTTTCGCAAGTCGATGGTATGAGTTTTGGCCTCGGCGGTGTGGATGCTACCTGAGCTGTCTGTTTGTGATGGGGGTTGACGCCTTTGAAGTAATTCATAAGAATGCCTTCATTGTAAGACATGCGTGTGGATTCCCTTGGCAATGTGAAGCAGCCTCGTGGCAAGGTTCAAGGGAAATCCTGGCTCTCTTCTTTCAACAGAGGTGGTTTCAGGTTGGTTTGAAGAACACCTACAGGGAAGGAAAACATTTGCTGGGGGTTCCACCTAATTTGACACAGAACTCTTGGCCGAGGCAGCGGATTTGCATCGGCCCTTTGTTTCATGACGCTCGGCGAAGCAGTTTGTGTTTGTTTTCTCCTGGCTTGGCTGGCCAGGCGGTGGGCCCAGGTGGTCCCCCCAGTTCGCTCACTTGTCAAGGCAGACCAGTGCAAACAAGCCCATCATTCAGGTGTTGGGCCGCCGTGGAAAGATAACTCCTGGTTTAGGTCCAATGAACAAGGGGCTTTCATTTTTTTGTGCCCACTTCCTCAGGACTGCAGAAAGGATATGGCCTCCACCTCTGTCATCGGCCCCTGAAAAAAAGTGAAGAATGCATCATTAGTTAAAGGTATCACAAAAGCGGACATTTCCCACAACCCTCACTTTTTTCAACCCCCGACGGGTGGGGGATCGTCCCTATCAAAGGTGCCAAGAGTCGTACCCCTAAGGTTGTATGTCTGAAATTGAATGCAGGTTGGAGATGTTTGCTTTCAGACTGGCTAAATAGGTCGTAGAACATGGCGAAATCTCGAGTGCACTTGCCTGTCCGATCCTGGAGGAAAAAGGACAGGCATGGCGTTGTGGGCACGGCATGGAATTCGCCCCCTGACAAGGACCCCCAAGCACAGACACACCCCAAACACACTTGAAAAAACAACAACAACATAGACCATTGTTGAAGGTGTGTTTGTTTGTTTGTGTGTGTGTGTTGGGGGTGGGATTCGATGAGCTCAGAACATGTTTGCTATGTTACGGTTGGCAAAATATGACACACAAATCTGAACATGTTAGTTTTGGTCCAGCCAGGGGATGGGCTTGGGGTAACCCTAACCAAGGCTGAATTGCTGGCGCTTAATTGAGCCAAAAGAGAGACCACTCCGTAAGCTCCAAGCCACCAATCCCACTAAGTAAGAAGCTGCCAGTCAACGGTACCGACTCCGGGACCCAAAGAAAAGGAGGTGCCAGTTTTTCTCGATTTCGAGGATTCTGATCTCACATGTTTTCAACTTAATGCGTCACTTGGCACGTCACGGGCAATCCATGCGTCGCGCATGCCCCGAGGAAGAGGACGTGGACCTGCTGCGGCCGGAGGCCGCCCTGCGTGCGGAGGAGCTCCGAAGGCAGGCGGCCGAGGGCGGCTCGCTGCTGAGCGCCGAGGACCTGCCGTACGCGGCTCGGCAGCCGAAGCGGGAAAACCGTGGGGCGGTGGGTTTGGGCGTGGGGCAAAATGGGCGGCCCGTCTTTTGACATTTTTTTGAGCACACAAGCTCAGGAATTCGAGAGTATGAGCTTATCAAGGAAGGTCCTCTTGGGGCTTCTGATTCTTTGGCGCCAGGCTTGGCTTCCCTCACCCAGAACTGGTCAACTTAGAGGGCCGCTGGACAGGCTTTTAGTACTGGCCAGCCGGCAAACATGAAACCTGAGTTGCGAGGCCTTTGTTGGTTCCATGCGGCTATCAGGGCACGACTTTGGCAAAGGCATTGGGAGGTTTCTCAAAAGCAACTGCTCCCTACAATGGTAGTTTCCCTTTGCCCCCCTTTTAAATACCAAAATTGGTCCACCATTTTGAGAGCTCCCATTGGAGGTTGGAGGTGGCGTGTGGATTGGAGGTCGGCATCCCACTTTTGGGCCTTGCCCGAGGCCTTTGCTGTGGCACTGAACATGGGCGCAGGCAAGACCCCGGCTTCAGCTTGGACCTAAGCAATCCACTCAGATCCGCCAATGTTTCCCAAGGGACAGCTGGGGTTTGGGGCTGTCTCGGGACTAGAGTCCTGCAGTCCAGTCAGGTAGTTAGTCGGACTGCTTTTTGAGACTCAAGGTACTGCGAAGTGCTTGGAACTTAGTACTCAGCAAAAATGCTTCTCACTTGTTTTTTGTATTCATTATGGGGTCGCCCCATTGGCCCATGTCTTTGCACCAACCCTGCCCTTCTGAATGCAAGAGAAACCAGCACAAAGCAATGCAACACAACATTCAACCAATGCTAGCCAACACAGAATTAACGAGTAAACCAGCACTAAGGCACCAATCAATGCCAAATCAACACTAAACCAATAACTGAACAAGTCAGTAAAACAATGCTAAACCAATACTGAATAGTACGTATTTGGGGGGCCAAATCTGACCTCTGTATGAATCAGTCACCCACATTCCTGAGCGTTCTTTACCCAGAGCCGAGCAGTTGAACCCCCATGTCAAAGTACCTGAACAATGAATCTACCAATGCGTGTTAACACATTCTAGCACGGCTTAAAGAATTTTGCTTGACGCAGCACTGAATTTAATACTACACATGGGAGCCTTGGGCGTGTTGAATCTTGAGAATATGCAAGAACGATTAAGACAGTTTGAAGCGGTTCACGGCCCTAGTGCGTAGATTGAAGATTCAAGATGCAGAGTCCTGAGAATCTTCTATTTGCCATTGATCCCATGCTTAGCGATTTCAGGTGTGCGCACGTGCATGGACAGACATGCTCAAGTTTGTGCCTGGGAAAGGGTGTAGGTGACTCAAAAATACTGCACATACCAGCCTGAGCGTGAAGTGCAGATGGTTTTCTCATCCCGAACCCTCGGCCATTTCTAGACATCTTCAAAAACCTGCTTTTGCCACGGACAGTGCTTCTGGGTTCACTGGCTGTGGGTCAAAAGCAATGGTACCGTTTTGGGGCAGGTCACCACCCACTTAGTCCATTTTAGTGGGGATTGGGATGTTCACTGAAGGTATGGGAACTTGACCCATGGCCACATATGGCAGGAAGCCCTCAAGAATGTATATTTACTGTTCCTGTTATTTGTCTTATATACATATTTATCTATACATATGTATATATATATATATATGTATGTCTTATTCTATGTGTTCATAGGCAGATAGACAGATAGACAGACATACAGATAATTACACAGATATATTAGATAGATAGATAGATAGATAGATAGATAGATAGATAGATAGATAGATAGATAGATAGATAGATACATAGATAGATAGATAGATAGATAGATAGATAGATAGATAGATAGATAGATAGATAGATACGGTCTTGTGTTTGCAAATATTTATCCACTCATTCATCTATTCATTCACTTCACTTCACTTCGCTTCGCTTCATTTCATTTCATATCATATCATCTCATTTCATTTCAGTTCATTGCATTCCGTTCGTTCATATATTCGTCGTTCGTTCATTTATTTTTGGTGTTAGTTTTGTGTTTGCTTTATCAATTTGTTTATTGATTCATTCTTTCACTTATTTGGCCTAATCTATGACGTGCACCGATTTTCCAGGGCCCAGCTCCAACGCAGGCGGTCTCTACTTCGAGGACTTCAACTTCGTCCAGGGCTTCGAAGTGCCGGGCTGCTGGAATTCATTTGCTGCGTGGGTTTGGTCTCTCTTCGGGAAGGAGGAGACATGCGAATTGGCAGGGGGCCCCCCAATTCAGGGGTTTTTTGTCCAAGAAAGGCATCCCCACTAAAAAGGAACACCCCCCCCACCAAAATTAGTGGTGGGTCTGCTAAACAGGGATCAACATGGCATAGCCAACAGCACCAGTTTGTCGTACAGAGTCTTGCCAGCCTAAGCAGCGGCAGCCTGCTACCGCTTTGGCACATGATTATGAAGTGTGTCCCTTGAAGGGGGCTGGCATTTTGAGGCCCCTGCTCTCAAAATCACTCTTGGGATCCAAAAGGGTAGTTTCCATTTAACCCTTTGTTTGGAGGGTACTGTTCAGGATGTCATTGTCATGGATGCAGTGAGATTCTTGACGCTGTTGCCTTTTCGAGAAGTGGACAAACGCTTGCTGAAGCCCCCTGCATCCACTGCAAGGGAAGGCCACGGCCTGTCTTTCATTCCAGTCATGCCGGGGCCTGGGTAGAGTTAGGGTGCATTCTGCTTTTATCACTCATGGCCAGCAAGGCAAAAGAACGGAATGCATACTCCGCTGCAAATTAACATTCAAAATCGTGGTGGCCCGGCTTCCTTCGAGGGACCTTCTTTTGGGTTCCATATTGATTGAGTTGTAAAGGGGTATTTTGGAGGGGAGCTCCAAGCATTTGTTTGGTCGGAACCCTGTGAGGAGCCCAGGTGGAAGCCTCCGGTGGAAGGTGAGACGATGGGCGTCATGACGTACCAGGCGCGCTTCTTAATTTTTGCATGGGGATGTTTCTCGGGGGCGCGAAGGGTGAAGCGATATCGCATGTTGGATTTAATGCCGTTCTGTTTGGAGGGCCTTTCTTACCTGAAGAGGCGGAAGGGAGTTAAAGCGAAGGGCGACGTTAGGTTTCGGGTTGGGGGCATTGGCAAGCTTTTCCCGAGCCGCAATTTGGCTTTACATCCTTTCTGAACTCGGTAGCCACCCAGAAGTCTTGACCGAAAAGGGCAGGAGAACAGAAAGCGACAAGACCAACTCCCCCCTCAGTGGTTGATTGAAGCTCAAAAGAAGCCCGGCGGGAACTCAAAATGATGCTCCAGTCACCGGACTTCGTCTCAAGACGATCTCTCGTCTGATCTTCTTTCACCCTGGATCTTAGAATCTGAATTCATTAGAGGGGCATCCTCAAAATCACCCTCCAAAAACTGGTTTGCAATCACCGCTTCAGAGCCGCAGCAAGGGGAACCATTGCTACCTGTGCGTGGATCTGAGTGATCATGGGGCGCCAAAGGATCATTCGGGCCATTTCCCACGGCTCCCCTTGTTACGGCTCTGAATCAGCGCTGGGAGAAAGCCCAGGAATACGCGAAGGAGAACTTCGGCGAGGACACGCGTCCTTGAAATGGCGCGCAGTTTGGCTGACCGAAACTTTTTTTGACGGCCCTCCCCCCCCCGCCTCCGGCGAAAGGAGTGGTTTGGGGATATATTTTGTAGGAATACACATGTACCAGTAGAGCTCGGACAAGCCGGGGGTCGGAAGTTTCAACAGCGGGCAAGGTGCCTATATGGCAAGCTGCACTCAGACACACGCATTCTGCCATCGCGCCCGTCCCTTTGTTCGCTCTGTTTTTCCTTGCCGCGTGCAGATTTCAGCTGGGCCTCACACGTGTACGGTGTACTTGCAATTGTAGTTCCCCGGAAACTGATCACGTTCCTGGCAAACAACATGTCTGGTCAGCGAGTGCCGCGCAAGAGATTGAATCCAACCACACAGCTCCCGCGCGAACTGGTTCGAGCCTTGCCAACGGCTCCGCACCAACATGTTGGGTTGACGGGGGGGTTAGCCCGGCCTGAGGCGCAGGCGCAGAGGACGCGAAGTCCGGAGTATGCAAGCACACCGCAAATAACAGTGTTTTATGGGGTTCGTGGCCAGCTGGCGTCTTCCAAGTGCTGTCGAACCTGCGTACTCGTGTTTAGGAACTCGGATACGCAGCGTTGGCAGGCGTGGCACTTCTGACACGCGCTTTTGTGGTCTCCGGCTGTAGGTTGCTGCTCTTCGGGAGCCGCGAGAAGCCAAGAGGGCTCTGCGTGGTCTATGTTGTGTTGGGCAAAACCCCTGTAGGCGCAGCACATTCTCGAGCACAAGCTACTTTTTCAGCAGTGCACCCATAAAGTCAGCACCATCCATGCACTTGGGCTGCTGCGCCGGGCTGTTTGCGAGCGGAGCTTTAAGCTACAACCTTCACCTTCGCATACTTTCTTGCTTGCGCGCTGCGCGCGCTTCTCATGTTGGCGTTTGCGAGCTGCTGCGCGAACCGTCTAGTTCCAGAAACCCTGATGCAAACACTTCTTCCTGGCTTTGCGCAAGCTGCCAGAAGTCAGGGCAATAACCATCCCCCCAACCCCTCCCACCCTCAAGTCCGGGCCAACCCCCCGTTTACCCAACATGTCGCGCATGCCTTTTTTGAAGAGCCAGCAACTTGCAACCAACGAGAAGTGCGCAGACCCCACCCAGGATTGGTTAGGTTTTGGCATATTTTCTTGATTCAGAACTCCTACCAGGTCCTGTTTGACAAAGGCAATGCTTGAAAAGAATTGCACAGAGAAAAATCTGGTTGTGTGACAGAAAACCTGAGCAATACAAAATAACAACTAAATCAACTAATGATTATATACATCTCTGTGTGTACTGTGTATCTAGTATGTATCTATGTATTTGTTCGCTTTCTTAAGAAAGACTGAGAAGGAGCTCCCGGGTGACTTCCTGGACGAGTACTACACCGGGGGCCGCGTGCCAAGCTGGGAGGACAACCGGCGCCACAGGCCTGCGCCGCCCGCGGCCCATGTCGCCCATGTGTTGCTCCAAATCCCTTGTGTTCCCCGGTCGAACTAACTTTAAATCCAGTTTCGTTTACCCTCCAAGAATGGATCCCCATAAATTTCTTTCTAAAACCAGAGTCACTGGACTGGGGAACAGATCAGGAGAGACATTGCCCTTCCTTCTGAGAGGACAAATCTCAGAATCCTTTTGCGAACTGAAAGGGGGGAGGGGGTTGAGGAGAGAAACGCAAGCCAATCTACCCTCTGTTTTGAAGGGACCTCTGTTAAAACACACGTGGTTTCAAGCCTCTTTTTGTTGGCAGCCTTTTGTTGGTGAGTTTCAAGTCGTCACGGTGATCGCGACATGCATGATGCAAATGAATGAGTGATGTCACATGATGTCACCTCTCGTTGTACATCTTCTGTTTTTCCTGGGGCTCATTTGCCGGTTTATTCGCGAAACTTTGGTTGATTCTCTGAGCACCAGCGAGTTCTAACTAGTGTGTGTGTGTGTGTTAAAGAGTCCCAAATTGGCTGTTTTCCTTTTGGTTTCCCTTGAGCAAACCTGAAAAAGGGTACCGCCTCAAGACAAACGTGCCCAAACTGTTCACAGGTGGGGCGTACAGAAGCTCGCAGCCGTGGTGGCCGCGGGACGGGCAGTGGGCATCGAACCCATCAAGCAGGCCGCGGGAAATTCCGTCCTGAAGGTTTCAATATTACGTGCTTGGGGCCAATTTCGGTACGATTTCTCTTCGGGGTGATGCGTTTGGAGGCACATGTAGGGAACTCTGGTGGCCCAGCATGAGGCAAACTATAGCGGCCTCACGAAAGGTTCCTTACTTGGGGATTCTTGACTTGAGGTCTGTGAATTATGTTGCAAAATCTTCGGGAAACACAATTTCACCTTCCATTGAGTCATTGAGTGTGCAAAAGGCTAGATGCTGAAGAGGACAGACCCACTCGGAGGCCAGCCGAACGGAAACCTAAAAGCGGGCCTGGAGCGAAAAACCCTGTGTTAGGAGGGTAGTTCAAGCTTCCTGCAGATTTTCCAGCGCGTGTCTTGGACAAATGAACAAAACATCAGCCAGTGGACTGGCAAAAACGCTGCTGCAGTTGTTTGTCGCGTAAGATACGGCGAGATAGGGCCAGATCAGCAAAAGGTGCTGCCAGTCAAACAAATTGGATGTTCGGCGGCAACTGCTTCCCGTTTTTGGCGGCCCCGTTGATACTGTTGAACAAGCTTGACCCTTTTTGGCTTTGTGAGGTCCTCGTACCGCCCTAACATGTTTTGGGGCCACTATTCGTGATACCAAGGACGTGGGGCTGGGTATTAGCCTCGGTATCGCAAAGGGGGGCCTGCCTCAACAACCACGATGCCAAATCGGATCGGGGCCAAAGGACAACCAAGTAGGGTGAGGGGTGCTGGGAACAAGGAGGTTGCTAAAATAGACCTCTATGGGCGGCACTGAGGTGGCCGGATGCTGGGTTCTCAAAATTACTTTCGGGTTCTTTGTCCGTGTTAACGGCTTCCTTTTTCATTGGTTTTAGACATCACCTGCAGCAGTTGGATGAAAGTTGGCACAATTCCCACATGTTGATACATTTTGGCGTAGTCATCCCCCTTTCACACAGTGAAGTGTGCCATGCAGCTTCACCCTGGAGTGAAAAAAAAACCGCGACCCCAACCAACACCACACCGTCCCAGGTCTATCCCCTGGAGCCCCGCATAGCGCTGGACCACAAGGCCCTGGCGAAGATCGGCTCGGACGGGTTCCGCTACTTTGGGCCCATGGACATCAGGCGGCCTCGGGCCCCGTCGAAAAAGCGACCCGAAGGCTCCGGCATCCTTTGGCGTCCGATTTTGGTTGACAGTTGAGATGGACATAGGGGAAGGAAAGCCGCATGAAGATCCCAGAGGTGAGAAGACTAGGAATAGCTAGGGTTGGATTTTGGCCGGAGAAGAATAGTTCCCTGTTTCTACTGTAAGTGAGGCCCTGCCACCAGGAGCCTGAAAACAGGGTGGGATGGCCGGAACCGCAAAAAGGCGCTCCTTTGTTTTCGTGTTTGACCCCCCGTTTGAGAAGCATCGCCGAAACGCCAAACGCAATCACACCTTGGAAGTGTTCGAAAGATGACGTTTCAAACCCTGCAGAAAAGTATGGCCCTGTTCCGTTTGGGGGTTGGCAGGATCATTTTGGCTCACAGAAAACACGTTTGGGGTGGCTCAGGGTTGATAGATCTGAGAGGCTCCTCCTCACCTTCCCTCAAAGCCAGGCGCTCCAGTCCGCTTTGGTCCCCTGGCCCTCCGGCAAAGAAGAACGCGCTTTGCTTGCATGAGATCAAGTCTGATGAAAGTCAATCCGCATACAACCCTTGTGCCAAACGGTGATGGTGACCCTCGTTGTAGTGGTGTCCCACTGCCGGACCCCCAAAACTCCCCAACTACACCCCCCCGCGCAAACCTCCCCCAAACCTCCCCCAAACGTCCCTTAAACCTCCCTTAAACCTCCCCCAAACCTCCCCCAACCCCCTCCCCCCCAACCCCGTGGAGGTATGCGTCCAATGGATTCTACGGCGCCTCCCTGGTTGAGCGCCGGATGGAAGGCCAGCGGCCGCAAGACATGCTGGCCATGCTGATGACGGACTCCGTCGCCAGACCTGGGGGCATGTTTTGTGGTGATTCGCATGCTTCAACGGGTAGGGGGGTTCGGGGGTTGGTTTGGGGGAGGGGGGGTCTTTTTTTCTTGGGGTGGGGATTTGGGGTTGCGGTGGAGTAAAGGCGGGGACTCAACCAAAATGGGTTGGAGTTGAATTCGGCAGCTACTTTAGGCCCGGTGTACGGTTTTGTCAAAGCATTCTTTGGACCTTATGTTCATTTGGCCAAACTGGGCCACACGTTTCTTCTTTTGCAGCTGACCTTTTTAACCTGTGGTTTCCCACTCATTTTCCCTTTGATGCGGCGCTGAGTGGGTTTTTCGCGTGGCACCTGCCGCATTTTTTTCTGGACCTGGCCCAGGTCTTCGGCGCCCACCTGCAGCAGGATGCCTCCGGGCAATTCCAGGCGGGCTGGACGGTCTTTGTCGCGGGTGTGTGTGCTTGCACAAGGTGAAGGCCCCCGCCTCTAAAGCAAAAAGCACAACGACGCGCGTCACCAAGGTGAAGGATGCCCTTGCTAAAATGGGACGCCCCCTATGAAGCAACCAGGGTGAAGCGAAGATGACGTCCAGTACAAACAGGGCAGATATCAGGCCCATTCGGACGAAGTGATTGGCAAGCCTGAAGTCAGTCGAAAGCAGTCAGTTAGTGTGCTTCTTAGAACTAGGGCCCAGCACTGTTTTGCGCCTTTTCGAATTGACGTTCGAGCGCCGGGGGCCCATTTTCCTCTGAAGACCTGGGTGTCGGGCCTAAAAAACAACTGGGTGTGGGTCAAAATCAACCACCAGGGGACCGCAGGTTTTAATCCATGTCTCCATTTACCAGGGTTGCATTCTGGATACCTATTTTTGACCCACACCCAAATCCGCGCAGGTGGACCTCCGCGGCCTGGCCAAGTACGCGCCCATCCCGGGCTACGCGAAGCTGGGGGGGCGCGCTGCCTTCCGGCTGGAGGGCGGCCTGCTGCGAACGGTGGAGCTCGAGTACAACGACACCGTGTACGACAACTTCACGGACCCTGAGGAGAGGAGAAACGGATCCGGAGGAGACGAACCTACGAAGTGTCAGCGGAGCCTTCTGATGAAGAAATCAGATGTAGGGGTGGATGCCCCACGCTTTTCTCAGGGGTGTGATCTCAAGGGAAACAAGCTGGTGAATGCTCTCAAGCGAATAAACCATTTGGTTGCCTTGTGGTTTCTTTTTGGGAGTTTGGTCCCTGACAGCCTTGATTTTCTTTGGTCCATGCCTGAGTCATGGCCCCAAATGGGAGAGAGAAGAGTATGTGAGGCCGCTTTGTGCTCGAACTCCGGTTTCCCGGTTTCCTTCATGGGATACTTGGTCGTTCTTGCAGATGGGCGTTAGGTGGGCCAAACGACATTGTGACTTTGCGACTCTCACTCATTGCCTACGTGTGTCTTGCCCCCCACAACGACTCTTGCAAACCATACCCTGTGTCGCACGGAACCGGGTGGTTTTTGTGCCAGGCGCGTCCTGCGTTCGCATTCCCACGGGGAACGCACGTATCCCCTGAGGTGGATGCGGCCTACGCGCGGAACGTGCGCAAGGGCTGGCGTATGGCGGAGGCCGCGTTCATCGCCTCCCTGCTGTCCATGACAAACCTGGTGATGCATGTGAAGGACGAAATCAACGGGGCAGACACACCACACACACACACATACATGCATACGTACGTACATACACACATACATTCATACATACGTACATACATATATATATATATAATGTATATACATATATATGTACATATGTATATGTATATGTACATGTATATATATATATATGTATATGTATATGTACATGTACGTATGCATATAGGTATGATTGTACACGTAAACATGAAAACATGTACAAACCACACACACACACCATGGGGTTGTATGTATGCACGCGGGCATGTCAAACATTTATGTGAACACCTTTGCGTAGTGCATATGAAGGCATGCTGATTCATAAGCATTTGCATGCTACAAATGTTGTACTCACCGAAGGCGGCTGACGGAATGGGCACAAGAAGGCGTGTGCAAGCTTATCGAGCTGTTTAGCGCGATCAATACGCGGATTTTGCGGCTTTCAGTACGTATCGACTTGGTGCTGCAAAAGTGTTTTTCGCTTCACGGCACTTAGCGATGAATTTGCCAGGCAGGTTTCCCGACCATTTTGTCACAGCGCCAACTGGCCTGTAAGCTGTTGCCAAGCATTGGCACAGCTCTACTCTCACAACATTGAAGCCTGGCGTTCTTTTGAACCCATGCAGACCCACAGGTGCATCTCTACAGCTGGTGTTTTTGATTTCCAGCGGTTTAGGCATCAGACCCATCTCCCTCGGCCCGGGCGCGCGCGCGCGCCCGCCTGGGCGATGGCAGGACCTGCACCTGGAGATCGCCAGCGCCTTTCAGGCGGTCACCGTGGACGCCTTTGCCCAGAGGCCCAAGCACCCGGTGAGGCGGATCCCGGAGGGCGGATCCCGGCGGCCGTTTCGACGGGGGGGTTCGGCGGTTTATGGATGGAAGGGAGGGAGGGAGGGAGGGAGGAAGGGATGGACCGGGATGGATGCATTTGTTTCATGGCCTGACGTTGCGTAATCGTATCAACTTATTCTGGAAATGGAAAGGGGCCGCCCGAAAAGTTTTTTTTGGCGGTTCCAAGAGGAGCTTCCTCTAAGAATTTCATGGTTTTGGGGTTCCGTTTGGTACTGGATCGCCATGGGCGCCTCTTTTCTCGTTTCCTAGCCTTGATACTTCTTTGGGGGCATTTTGCTTGCCAGCGGTTCCCAAGACTCCCTGGGAGCCTCCCTCCATCCCCTCAGTCCAATTGTTGCGTGAGGAATCTGAGGCATGAAGCAGCCCATAGGCCAGGGTCCCTTGCCCCCCACCTGAATCAGGGTTGCCACTGAGCATAACCAGTTCTCCCTAGTTTGAAGTTCTACCCTGCCAGGGTCTTCAGAGCCACCCTAACCTTTAAATGCCAGGCGTTTGCTGGACGCCTTCATCAGCCGTAGCGTGCAGGCGCAGAAAACCGTCAAGTGGGTTCCAGCACCCTCCTGGAGCTAGCATCCCAAAAGCAAACCCCCGACGCCCCCTTTCCAGAACAGCTGTCTTCCAACAGTCTTCGCGCTCTACCACGCTTGTGGTTTGGAGATCAAGCTTGATGCAAAGAATGGGATGTGCATTTCCTAGCATTTCCAGTTGTACTCCCCGAGTTCATAGCCAAGGGCCCTTTCAAGCACTCGCGTGGAAGCGCGAGCTGGAAGCGCCACTTTTGACGTCCTCCAAGACCTCAAGTATCATGTCCAGATTCTGGCTGCCATACTCAGGGTACATGCCGCAGGGCTTTTTGGTGTGACCCCCAGGGCTTTCTCCGACCTTTTGAAAACAGTTTGTTTTCCATTGCACCTCTGAAGTGTTAGACCATTTGCTCAGGTTCGGAGCAACCCACCTGACCTTTCCCTCGAGCCACAGGCCACCAACGACAACATGCGGCTGCTCTTCGACTTCCATGCGGCGGACTTCTCGCTGGCGCCCTTGCCCTACCAGGCTGTTAAAGGGGCCAAAAGGGCGTGCGCAAGCGACGGGTGCGGCGGGCTGTATGGTTTTCCCGCCTGGAAGCCGTATGCCATCATAACATGGCCATTTGGTTGCGACAGAGCCCTTATTTCATTTGGCATCTTTTTCGGCACGGTCATCATTTTCTGGCTGCTGGCTGTATTTGGCCGTGCGCAGCCCATTTTTTCAAACATTTGACAAGCAGCCTCGCCAGTTTTGGTGGAGCGGCCCATATGGACCGAAGCAAGCGGCATGCACAATGCGGGTTTCCAGGCGGGCAAGTCCCATCCATTTGCTCTTTGGGTGCAATTGGTTGCCCTTCACCTTCCTCACCTAAAGGCAACAAAGGCTGACACTGACTACTTCTCAGGTTGGACCCAGGCCTGTGCCCATTCGGCTGAGTCAATTCGACAGGAGCAGCTGAAGCTCATCGACGACTTCATCAGGGCGGAGCCCCGGAACCTGGCCGACATGGACATGGACCGGTGGGAAGGGGCCCCCAAACCTGTTTGTTTTTTGTTTTCTCATGTTTTTGTTGGCGGCCGGGGGGGGAGGGGCTGGCGATCAGTATTCTATCCATACCGCCCCTACACTTCTTTTTTTTTGGTTGGGTGTTCCTTCAAATTCGACCAGCTGCAGCTCCATACCCTATCCCCCCACTGTTCCTCTTGCGTTGTCAAACTAGTGCACTCTAATGGTAGATTTTCCATTTGCAACAACCTAAGCCAAAACCAACCTAAGTCAACCTTAATCAACCTATAGCTGCACCAGCCTCACACCAATAACCCCTCTTTGCGCAGGAGCGCTACGGGCGACTGCGGCACATGGACCCCGAGTTCTCCACCAAGGAGGCGCCGCTCTGGGCGTGTCCTCGGATGGTGGGGGTCTGTGGTAGTGGTGGTGGTGGTGGTGATGGTGATGGTGGTGGTATCTTGGGGGTGGTCTTGGGATCCAAGCAGCCCCTCACCTACTTTTGGTTAGGGAAGGCACTCAGCGATTCAGCGATCTTGCGCTTCCGCGGTGTCATAGCATTTGACTCCTCCGCCATCCACGTCCTGGTCCCCGGCCTGAGCCTCGGTTTCCATTCCGGGTGAGGAGGCCAAGCAGTCCTCCCCTGCCTGAAAGAGGAGAACTCAATACAACAGGCATTGGAAACTAACAATCTTGGAATGCTTTTTATTAATTAAGGCATATTATCATTGAAGAAGTGCGGCGGAGTGCCTCCAAATGAGTTACGTGGTCTAGCGTGACATGACCCCTCCCCTTTCCGGACGGTTTTCAGGGGTCGAACACTGGGCAAACCATTTTATCATTGGGAGTCCACTGGTGACTTTGGATATTGCTTGGATTTGTCTTGCAAGGGGTCTCTGTTTTATTAAAGCCATAACCACAGAAACCAACGTACAAAACCCACCCCACCCAGCCGCCTGGGAGGTCCAACCGGACACGACACGAGGCCGTGGTGAACTCCAGCAGCTGGGGCTGGCGCTGGCACTACCGGGCGCTGACGGTGCAGAAGCTGCTGGTGGCCTACGTGGACTGCTTCCTGGGCGCCGAGGGCCTGGATGCGGCGGCGGTGGAGGCGGACAGCTACCTGAAGGCGGGGGCTGGGGGGGGGGGGAAGTTTGGGGGAAGTGGCGAGGGAGATCCGAGGGCTGGGAAGTCCGTTTTTTTTTTTTGGCTGAGCCACATGTAATTATGCAGTCAGCCATGTGGAAGGAAAGCTGGGTGGTGCGGCTCTGGGCCAGGGGAGTTTGGGCTCGGAGTTTTGGTCCGCGACCGGTTTTGCGGTTTTGCGGTTTTGCCAGGGTTCCTTTGGTGACATGTAGGGGCGGCAAGAAATTCATCTGTGGAATACGAGCAAGGCGGTCCTTTTGAATGGTTGGTATCATGTACGCCCCCTTCACAAAGCAGAGGTGGGTTTGCGGACCTGAACAAATACCGTGTTGGGCGTCCATTTCTGATGGCGGGTTATTATATTTTACTGGCTTTAGCAAAGAATCATCCCCCATCCTGGCCTTTTGCGCGCAGGCAACAAACAAGACAAGAACCCTCCTGATGTGGAATGAACTAGGGTGCTTGGCAAGAGCCGTCTTTCCGTGACATAAATAGGATGGTCCGTCCAGTTTGGTAGTTGCAAGAAGCCTGGACCCCTCAGATGTTGGCCTCACTAGCTGGTTCTTCCTTGCGTTGTAGGATCCATGGCAAGGCCTGTGGTGCGCCTTCCATGGATAGATCATTAATTCACTTCTCATACTGGTAGTAGTGGTCGTGCTGTAGCATGACTTCGGCGAGCAGTAAGAGGCACGACTTCTGTGCTTGTTATTGTGGCTGCTGTATGGTTGCAGCTGCTAGAGCTTCTTTTTGAAGGAATCCCTCTTTGTCTCTTCAGCGTGTTGTCTCATTGAGCGCCCGGTTTCTTCGTCCAATGTTCTCCTTGGTTTGGGCGTGTTGTCAGGGCGGTCATGCGGCGGCGGGACAGTGTCCGTAAATAGGGGAATCAACAAAATTGGCGAATTCCTTCTATTCTCCCTTTAAACCAACCCCAAGGGGTAACCTCAAACAAGACACACACACACACACACACACACACACACACACACACACACACACACACACACACACACACACACACACACACACACACACACACACACACACACACACACACACACAACACACACACACACACACACACACACACACACACACACACACACACACACACACACACACACACACACACACACACACACACACACACACACACACACACACACACACACACACACACACACACACACACACACACACACACACACACACACACACGCACATGCCGTAGAAACAGAGGCAACCAACACACAATAGAGCAAACAATATCAACACAATACGTCAAAGACCAGACCGAACCGAGAACGAACCGAGACGAACCGAACCAAGCCGAACTGCCTTGAGCAAACGAAAAAACATGAGCAAGGGCTCAAGTTCAGTCAAGCTCAAAGGGGAAACATAGGGACTCCGCGTTTGGTTTCCTCGAGTATATAAGTACACACACAAACACATATATATATATTATACACCTTCTATGCGAGCACCCTTGGGTGGTTGGTTGCAAAGGGAAAGCTAAGGGAAAGTGGCGAGCTCAGGATTGGTGGCAGAGGATGATCTACCACCTGCCCTCGCTGCGGAGGGCTACGGAAGAGAACCCGGACTGGGCGGAGGTGGAGCTTGAAAGGGCCAGCCTCGTGCGGGCGGTGAGTACCATCATGCTGCTCGGCCCGGACGTGGCGAGGTGTGGGTCGCTTTCTTTCAGGGTGCCCCTTGAACCTTGGGTTTGCAGGGAAACTTTTTTTTTTGGGGGGGGGGATTTGGGCATCCCCCTTCCCCGGATGAACGCTGGACCTGCAGTGGAGTTTGTTGCCCGTGTTTCCCCAAACAAGTGCGGGATCACCTCATTGGGAAGGCCCCGTAATCCACCGGGGCTTTTCTAAACCTGGGTTCCCATTGGTGTCCTTCTTGGATCGGTTTCGTTGGACATAGGTGGGGTCCTCGTCACTTGCCAGTGCTATCTATGAACTGAACGCCTTAGGGGGCGGAACCCTACTCCAGCCCAGGCTTTGGGTCTCCTGGATCCACGAGGACGTGGGCCACTCTGCCGCGGCCTACGTCTGGAACCCGCTGTACACCCCGATGTGCGTGCCGGAGGATGGCGTGGGCGTGCCCTTGTTGAGCTGCTCAGCGAAAACGCCCCGAGCATCGAGCCCCCCACTGCGGCAGGGAGTCTGCGTGTTCTTTTTCTGGGCGCCCCTTTGTTCAGGCAACAGGGGAAGCTTTCCCGAAACCAGCGTCAATCCGAACCACCCATTAAGGGTAAGGCGAGTTTCTGACAAGCCCATGGAATTGGGGGAGGCCTTTCTTTTGCAAATAGTCGGCATTGTTCAGAGTTGCCTTGAACCAGGTTCACTTTTGTTTGGTCCAGGCCCTGCATCGACCGAAACTGCTAGGCGTCCCAAGGTACACCATGGGTACTTGAAGAACGTTTGCTATGGCTTCCCAACGCGGGCCTGGTACCTCAAGAAGCCCTGCTGCAAATCGTTCATTGGATTCTTATCTAACTTCCTCCGCTTTCATCTGCTTGTAAGCCCTGATGTGAGTGCCTCGCAAAGGCTGGGCCTTCAACGCCATGGCCTACCGCGGCTTCGTGTTTCTGCACCGGTCCACGCTCTTGGAAGAAGCCCCCAGCTTCTGGCCCCGTGGCCGAAAAACGACGTTTTCCTTTTCCATTTCTCCGAGCCTTACCGGGTGAGGCCAAAGCATCAGTTTCGCCTCAGTTTTTTTTTGTGAAAGGGGCCGTAGCTGCTGGTACACTTTGGCCAACTTTCAACGTGGAATGCCGGCCCAAGTGGCCTGTGGGCATACATTCCACGTGCAAATGAGGTCCACCCAATGGTCCATTATGGTCCATTTCCGCAAACAAGTCACGCCTTTTCGAAGTGTGATTCTGACCTTATGAAGAATTTGTTTTATTTGTTTTCACTGCTCCATCCCTTGCTTTCTCGTAACCTAGTCTTCATCTCATTCACCTTCATCGGAATTTGAGCAACATGAACGAAATGTAGGATGTGAGTCAGGATGAAGGGGAAGGGACGGCATCTTCTTTTGCTTATTGTCTTTGTCATTCGCTATCATTCTGTCAAGCAAGAGGTAACCCCCGGGGCCATGCTAAACATCCAGAATTCTTGCTTGGCGCGGATGAACACACATTCATCCCGCCCACAAACATGTAAGTGCATTTTCCTCCTTTGGAAGACTACGTGTCTTTGGGACGGTTCCTGTACCCTTGCATGTTTCTTAGTGGGGTGCCCAAATCTTGGGGTCCAAAGCGATGAGGTTCGACGGAAACGCCGACAGCCGGCAGTGCTTCGAAGACTTCCAGGAGGCGCTGCGGGGTCTTGGTGAGAGCGACGTGGCCTTCAGTGAGTGCGAGAAGGACTGGGGTTCGGAGCGAGTGCGACAGATCCGCTGGGAGTTTGCTTTGGAGGAAGTGCGGTCAAAGGGACCGACTTGAAAAAAACAACATTGGCCGGACAATGGGTTTGAAGTTTCCTTGGGCTTAAGCACAAGGGGCCCTTCCGTCCGATTCATTCGATCGTTTTTTGAGCCACCCTGAGGATGGATTCTACTCCTGCGTGGGGCGGGTGGAGACGGCGGTGTCTTCCTGAAGTTTTAAGGCATGGCGGCCAAGATGGCCCATGGCTTCTCAGGTCAGCATTTCGAAACAAGTTGGGTAGAGCCAGCAGTGAAATTGCCGGGTGCTGGGGAAAGTTCCTGCTGGCGGGGAGTAAACCCGCCCACAGCGAGCGGGAGGCGAAAAAAAATCACTGCCGGGGGGGGCGGGGGGGGGGGGGGGGACAAAGCCTGTTGTGCAGGGAGGGCTGAGCACTGGCCTTTGGAACATGCAGTAGTGAGGGGGGTTGCCTTCAAAGGATTCAGGTTAGGAATAAAGCCTAATTCTTGCAAGAGGCAACGCTGCAGTGACCACAGAAACATTTTTTTGTGATCTCTTGATTCAGAGGATCCAACCCCCACTCCGACCCTCCGTTGGTTTCTCCAAGTAGAAGAGGGTTTGCGGGGGGGGAGGGATGGGGTGATGGGTCCATCCAAAGCCAGCGGTCTACCTTTGGTTTCGCCAAGTGAGTGGGTGCCTGCGTTTTGGGTTGCCGTTGGTTTCCTGGGCCATCCCAGCAATAGTGCTCCCGGTTCCGCCGCCTCCCAGGCATGGGAGCTCGATCCTCTGGCCCCCGTTTTCCCCCTTTTTTCTCGGAGAGG